TTATCACCATTTTGTATCACAGACTGACAATCTCGCTGCAATATTTAAGATAGCTTTGTTGTTGGACAAATAAGGATTTGGATCTCTCTATAGTGGGGTTTTTCAGCCTCTTCCACGACACATAAGTTATTTAAGTTACTGATTTCCGAAGTTGACTTGTTATTTTCTCCCATTCTTTCCTGTTTTATCATTTATTTGTTTATAATTTTATTAAATGTGATTTTTTTGGACATTCTGCTTGCAGGTATCATTTCTATGCAGATGCTGCACAGATGTATTCCCTGTTTCCCATTGCCTGTGTCTCAGCAGCACAGTGTCCTCCCCTGCCTCAAGCCTCAGTGCTTTGCATGCTGCGTGGGGCTGGAATATCAAGGTGCTTTTTCTTGGCTGCCAGCATCTAGCACAAAGGGGGGAGGCAGATTTGGTGATGATGCTTGTTTCTATGGATAATAATCAATAAGACCCATTAGGCAGACAACTACATACATCACTAAACTTTGACCTCTGCTCTCCAGAGCAGTCCCAAGATGCCTATTCATATGCCGGTGACATCCAGATTGTGCTGTTGCAAAAGCCTCTTTGCTCAGGAAGGGATTACAGATTTAAAGTGCGCAGCCTTCGCTATCAGCAGAGTGCAGTGTGCAGGATGCTGAGCTGTGTCTCTGCTTTTTGTTGCCTTTCTTTTCTCTCAGCAGAGTTTTGTATTTAACGCTGTTGCACACTCAGCTTTGTGTGCCTCTCTAGACCTTTCTGGGCTGCTTTCTGCTCCTGCCTTCTGGCATTTCAAGGGTTTGCAGTCCGGGGGATTCTTGGCACTGACTTGTGCTTGCACATTGCTCCTCATCTTTCAGATCTTTTTTCTCCTGAGTCGCTTTTCGGCAGGCTGTTTCTGATAGAAAGTTTTTGGCTTGCCGTTTGAAGTCCCTGATAGTCAGCATTTGATCACTTGCTAATTCAGTTCTAAAACTATTTCCCAAAGAACCCATGAAAGACCATCTATAAATAGATTATATATTAAAGGAGAACTTTTAAAAGACCCTTACTTTGCTGAACAGAGGAAGTTTTAAGTTTTCTGGGATGGCAAAGAACACACACCAAATTTAGAAGCAAGTCAGAGATCCCTGGGTATTTGAGAAATCCACTTCTAGAGTTCTCCTCCCCTTTATCCTCCCCTTCCAGGGGAGATCTGCTAGGATGCAGCCAGAGGAGCTCAGACGGTGCTGGGGGTGAGCAGGGAGATGTGTGTGTTCTGTGGGACGCTGAGCCCAGGGGGGCGCAGGGCAGGGGGAACCATGGTGGCCACTCCACCGTGCAACTCCCTCTGCAGGCACTCGAGGTCCATCCTGACACCTCCTGCTTCGCTCCTCCCTTCGTAAGGCTGTTCCCTGTGAAGGTTTGAAGCAGATGTCAGATCTCCAGACCACATGGCCAGCACAGCTCGGCTGTGCTCTTCCTTCTTGTCTGTTAGCTCTTTTATTGCTCTGACATGCTGTATCCTTCCCCCATTCCCTGCTGTGCTTTCAGAGCGCAGCCATACCCCCCTCAGCCTTTGTTTCCCCAGGCTGTGCAAGTCATTTTCACAGAGACTTCTGTTAAATAGGCTTTCTGCCCCTTTGACAATCCTAGAAGCTCTCCTTTGTGCCTGTTCCAGTCCAAATGCATTCTGTCTTCAACTGGAGAACTGTCTGGAGAACATGGAGAAAGGCAGTTCCAATACGATCTTGCCCATGCCTTGTGCAATGCCACTTGCTGTTTCTCTGTTTCTGTTGGAATTTTGGACCCCTCTGCTTGACATTTGTCTTTCCAGAAGCTAAATCACACTCATGGCAGATGAATCATAGAATTATCAAGGTTGGAAGAGACCTCTAAGATCCCTGAGTCCAACCCCAAGCCATTCCCACCGTGCTCACTGACCATGCCCCTCAGTGCCACATCTCCTCCCCTCTGGAACACAGTGGCACCACCACCTCCCTGGGAGCTGCCTGACTGCTCTACTGAGAATTAATTTCTCCTAATATCCAACCTGAACCTCTTGTGGTGCAACATGAGGTGATTGCCTCCCATCCATGAACAGCTGAGTCTTTGCCTCCTGTGTGCCAAACCAAGGAGAAGTCAGAATGTTTTATTATTGGCACCCAACCGTCGGCTAACGCTGCATTTCGCCTCATTTCACTTTATCTCAAAGTTATTCTTTGCTTCAGATGTGACATCTGCTTCACATCTTTGGGTTGTTATACAACCCCTCATTTTCCTAATAGGGTCACTACTGAAAAGATAAGTCATCCCAAGGCAGGTTTTTTGGAGGAGTTCTGCCAAGGACCTTCCTCCAGCCTGGCTGAGCTCCTCACTTCATCTCCTGCCCGTGCTCTCAGCTCAGCTAAAAATACACCAACTGACAGCTATCAGTGTCCTTACTGAAGTCTGGAAAATGCACGCTGCGCAGGAACCCTTCCTTATCTCTTGTTTCTCCCTCACAATTATCAGCAAAGTCTCTCCGTGTCTCTTCCTTAACCCAACACACTTGTTAGCTCGCTACGCTTTGCAGCAGTGCGCATAAATCTCAGCGGTGCACCAGGGCTATCCATTAGCGAGTTCTGTGTTTACACAATTCCTCACACAACGCTTTCCCCAAAAGCTTATGGACTCAGCCTGGGCCACATTTTTAAGGATCCTGTCAAGCACTAAGTGAGATTTCCAAGAGCAGCTTCCTCCTGCCTGCTTGCTGGCAGAGGCACCTGTGAGCCGGCAGCAGCTGAACTGTGCTGAAAGCAGCGCGGGGTGCAGCCAGTTGGCCACTGTGCTTCTGGCCACCGCCTGCCCTCTGCTTGGCTGTTCTGGCTGTTTGTGGCAAAGACTTCCAGTGTACAATGCCTGCTTCCTTTGCCAAGGATGCTCTTGTGGCAAACCTTGCCCTGCTTTGTGTGAAGTCCGTCGGCTCTCACACAGCCTTTTTCTTCCGCCCCTCAATGTCTTCTCAGCTTGGAAACCAATGCTTCACCCCTCAGCAGGATGTGTTGGATGCTGCAGAGTGAATGGCTGCCGCTAATAGGCTCTGTGCAGATGGTTCCCTTTGCCTACCCTCAATTGCTAACTTCTCTTTCCACCCATTTCCACTAAAAGGTGCTAATCATGTGGTGAGACGCAGCCTTCCTGCCCCGGAGAGCAGCAGCATCGCTTCTGGTGCTCCCGGTGCTCAGAAACTCATAGAAACACCTATGTGCAGAGCCCCATTCCTGGGTAACACATTCCCCATTAAATCCACAGAGAAGTCATTTACAAGTGGTTAGAGTTTGGGCTGCTGAGAACAGCAGTCACTTCTGAGAAGTTACACTGCTCTGATGCGAAATTACAAAAATGCATCTTTACTGCAGCAGCTAACGGGGCCGAAGAGCTTGAGTTAACATTTATATTTGGCATCGAACCTACGCACAAATACTGACTTTGGCCACGTGCGTAGCGTCCTGCTTTGTTTTCATATCCATTTCTACCAGTGGTCCAGGTGCGTGGAAACACCCCCATGCTCTCAGCACAGGGTTCAGGAGATGGTGCCAGGCTGCGGCGCTGCCAGAGGGGTGCACCTCTGCTCAGGGGGAGGTGTGTGCTGCAGTTAGGAACCACCCCTGTTCCCTGAGCTGCAGCAGGAAGCGGGAGTAGGGACGGTCCTCCTGAAGTTGTGAGGGCTCTCAGAAGAGCAGCTGAGCACTGTCGGTACCACAGACAAAGTGCCATTTTGTTGTGCCACTTTGTCTAACGCGGAGGGATGGCAAATGGCTGAGGCTGCCAATGGAGTTGGGCTGCTCCCAAGCCAAAGTTTCAGGCACTTTCTGCCTGTATGTGCTCTCCTTTGCTGATGTTGTCCCCAAACATGTTGCTGTTGTCCGTAACAGCGTTGTGGTGGAAGCCCTGGCAGCAATCACACAAAGGCCGCCGTGCCCCACACACACCGCCGGGCGCCTGTTCCCACACACGTCCCCGCAGCAAACATTGATGCTATCATCTAAAAGAGCAAAGATGTTTGGAAAACAGCAGATGCAAAGGGAAAATGACACTTCCTACTTGTGATAATTACACAACCTTAGCTCTGCCCTCGGAGTATGTCTGCTTCTTGCTGTACTGCTCGAGAACTGGCAAGGAGAGGGCTCCATGCAGCCATTACGTAGGGAGGGGGACTCGGTGGGCACTGGGGTGGGATGAAACCTACTGCTCGTGGAGGAGTGCAGCCCGACCACCACAGCAAGCCGGGGGCTCGGAGCTGCTTTGGGCAGCGCCACTCATTGCCACCTCAGGAGTTTGGCTTCAGTTGGAGCGCGTCTATGGATCGGCACCGGGTCCACGAGGATGTCGCTTTACGGACGCGCTGACAGAAGACTTTAACTCAGAGCCATCTCTGCGCAGGGCTGGCGGCTCGATCCGAGGAGAAAAGCCAACTCGCGAGGGCACTCCGTGAAGCGCTCGCGAAGCGGCGGGGCTCCCCCCGCGCTCGGAGCGGGCACCGCAGCTCCTCTGCCCGACCGCCGCCCCCCGCAGCTCTGCGAGGCGAGCAGGGCCTCCGGGGCCGCCCCTCCCGCAGGAGCCCCGCGAGGGGGAAGGGAAGGGGTCGCCTCCGCGCGCAAGAAACCCATCCCTCCTCCCGCGGCACGCTCCGAAGGGGCGGCGGGCGGAGAGCGCCGGGGGGCTCCTGCGGGGCAGGCTGAGCCGCGGGGCCGGGAGGGCGGGGGGAACCCGGCGGGGCGGCCGCGGCGCGGGGGGCGCTCCCCGCTCAGGGCCGGCGGCGGGGCCGCCACCATTGGCCGCGGCGCGGCGGAGAGCTCCGCCCGCCGGAGCGGCGCGGGGAGGAGGAGGAGGAGGCGGAGGAGGAGGGAGGGCGCCGGGCTGCGCTGCGCTGCTAGTCTGGAGCGGAGCCTGGCAGCGGCAGGAGCGGCGGCAGCGCGGGGGTGAGCGGCAGCCGGAGCCCGCCGGCCGGAGGCAGCCCCGTCCCCCTCTCTCCCCCCTCCCCTCCGCCCGCCCTCCTCCCTCGCGGCTTTCTTTGTGCGCAGGGCAGGGGCGGCCCCGATCCATGGTCATGGGCGACAAGAAGAGCCCGACCAGGTGAGCTGGGGGGCGCGGGGGCGGGCGGGGAGCGGCGCCTAAGATGGAGGGAGCGCGGGGAGGGAGGAAGGGAGGGAGCCCGGCCCGGCGCCGCCGTGTGCGGGGATGGCGGCTGTAGGCCCCGCGCTGCGGGCGCGTGGGGCGGGGGGGAGCGGCGGCGGAGGGGCGCCCTAAGATGGAGGGAGGGAGTGCGGGAGAGGCGGCCCGGCCTCGCCTCGCCTCGGCGCCAGGTGCGGGACTCGGGCGGGAGGCGGCTAAGATGGAGGGAGCGCGGAGCGGGGGGAGGAGGAGGAGGAGGAGAAGGAGGAGAAGTGTGCGCGGCTCTCCCCGCCGGTGCCGGGCTGATCTGGTGTGAGAGCAGCAGCCATGGCGGCTCGGCTCGCACACGCACTCCCGCCCCGCACACTCACTTCTCCCAGACAAAGGGAGATTTAACAAGGTGGAGGCGGCGGGCGGGCGCCGAACACGCCTCCCGGCCTTCCAACTCTCCGCCACGCCGCCCCTCCGAAAAAGGAGGGCGAGGGGGAGACGGCCCCCGCTCGCCGCTGCCCCCGCCCCGGGGCTCGGGGCGGCCCTCCCGGCGGGGCCGGGGCAGCGCGGGGCGGCCATCCCGGGGAGCGGAGCGGAGCCGCGGTACCGGGCTCGGGCTGCGCTGGGGAGCGGCGGGGCGAGAGGAGAAAGCGCTGGGTTTTCAGGGCTCTGTAATATGGTTTCTAATGTGTGTGTTTTCTTTCTCTCCTCCTCCTCTCTCTCTCCTCCTCCCGCTGCTTTTCTCCTCCTCCCCAAACGCACGCATACACACACACACACACACACACACACACACACACACACAACGCTTCACCCTCCCTCCTCCAGGCCGAAGAGGCAAGCCAAACCTGCGGCCGACGAAGGCTTTTGGGATTGTAGTGTGTGCACCTTCAGGAACAGCGCTGAAGCCTTCAAATGCAGCATCTGTGATGTCCGGAAAGGCACCTCGACCAGGTATGCCGCACCTCTCCGGTTGTGTTTCATCACACAGAGCGATGGTTGGTTTTGCTGCTCCCTGATCCCGGTTGTGTGCAGCCCCCCCACCATGTGCTTCAGCTGTCCCCATTTGAAATAGTGTGGTTTTTAAAAATTCTCTTTCAAGCGCTTAATTAGCCCCAGGAAGCGTGTTCCGTGGCTGTGGCAGCGACCTGAATCTTTTTGTTCTCTGCTTTTCTGTTGCTGTTTTGAGAAAGAGCTCTTAAAGCTCTGCAGGCAGCCAGGAGCGCTCAGATGGTGTTTTAGAACAGATGGCTTTTGGGGAAGATGTACCTGTGTGTTGTGCTGGAGTGACAATAACCAGGAGTTGAGGAGGGCAGCAGCTGGGTCTGGAGATGTCACCAGAGCACAGCTCCCACCCTGAGGTGTTGATCTCTGCCTGTTGTCGCCTGGAAGGGATTGGCTATTGTGGGGATGGAGTTTCTTTTGGAGTGCTTGAACTGTCAGCTCTCTGACTGCCTTCTGCCCAGTAACTTTGTGCAGTTGTGAAGCTGACATGGAGAGGTTAATTTAACTCCCAAATCCCCCAGATTGTACTCTTCTGTTAGTTGGTTCAAAAAGTTTGTTCCAGAAGGACCAGTTGGTGCTGGAACAGCCACGTGGTGCTCTTCTTCTGCTTTGTTGTACAGTGTTGTCTCCTGATTTCCTTTTCCTGAATGTGCATGTCCCATATTTGGTTCATGTTACTGCTCTCTCCGTCAAGGCAGTGGTCTGTTAGATGTGCCTTGTGGGAAGCATCATCCTTCTCCTTCTTAGGATGAAGCAGTGTGTTGTGGTGCTGCCAGAGGCAGGCTGTTCTTGTGAGCTGGGTGTCTTGATGGGATCGACAAAGGAACTCACGGCGTTGTTGGTTGTTGTTTGCCTGTGCTTTAAGCAGTGGGAGGTGGCAGTGTTTTTAACAGGAGCATGCTTTTGGGCCACTGAAGCTCTCTAAGTTACAGTCTGATATTCACTGTGAACTGATTACAGGTAGCCCTACTTCTTACAAAAATATACTGAGATGCCGAACTTAAAAGTTGCTTCATGTCGTTGAATGCAGTCCAGCTCTCGGGACAGCGGCACTCTGTACATGCATAGATCTGATTCTTCTCTAGCTTTGTTCAATCTTGTTTTGTCATGCAGCTGAACCTTCAAAGCATGCTTGAGTGCTGTGGGTTTCTCTTCTCTTGGCTTCACCTTGATGCAGGTAAAACACGTTGGTCCTGCAGCTTCTGGTACGAACTGTGCTGCTCCAGCACAGCGTGGAGCCCTGCAGTCACTGAGAGCGCTCTCAGCATAACGTGGAGCATGTGCAGAGTGTTTGCAGGAGGGGAGTCGTAATGAGATGTAGGAGCCCACATGGAGCGTGGCTGGTATCATACCGGGCCATTGTCATTTGGCCACCATACTGATGCTCGTTTGGAGAGCAGGAGCTGTAATTTTTTTCTCCCTTTTAAATGAGAAATTTCAAAAGGTTTGTTGAGGTAGTAAGAAGGTTTTGTCTTCTAAAGGGCTCTTCAGAGGGAAAGCGATTCATGGTTCACGTTAACAACTACAGCTTTGCTTGCAGATGTGATCCACGGGTCTGCAATGCTGTGTCTGTTTCGCTTTTTTTTATGAGCACTTATGAATGGCTTCTAATTTTAATTCATTTAATTCATCAGCTTTCTATTCATTTTTGCCACTTTCTAAGTTGCTTTTGTTTGTAGAATTTGAGAAAGTCTTTTAAATACTCAATGGACCATCATGCCTTCTTGCATATTTATGTCATTTATGAATAAATACCAAGTTCACTAACAACATTCAGTTGTATGGTGGGAAGGGTGGGGGTCAGAGCACTTTGTTGTGGTTCTGCTTTGACTGTTACTGTGTGTGATGAACAAGTCGATGGCTGGGAAATTCATCAGGATTTTTTAAATGAATGACTGATGTAAGGAAACCTTGTGAGTTGTGATTGATAATTTATTACCTGAAACACGATGAGCTTGACTTCTGAGTTGTAATTTGACAAGTTGGTGATACTTATCCCCATCTGAAACTGCCTTGCATCGTGAAGGCTCACTTTGATAACATTTATCAGAAACTTACCAAATGCACTTTCTAAAAAACCCAAGTGAAAGAAGAGCATCATAAATGTGATGAGGCAACTTGTTTTCATCAGATCTTACTGGGAAATTACAGAATGCCCAGCATTTCTATGAAGATCTGATACGACCTGTTCCTCCCCCATAGAATCAGTTCTTTGCTGTAGAATTTTGGCTGACAAATATTCTCCTACCTGAGAACTAGCTAGATGTTAGCTAATTCTTACTGTGTCTGTGTTCTCAGGCTTGATCTGATTGCTGTGGTGTGTGTGAGAGAGGGGCTTGCAGCCTTGATGAGTTGGACCTTCTCAGCTCCAGCTATCTCCTTTCCATAGGATCTCAGAAAAGGAGCTTTAGTTACAGTAAGAAAATGCAGAGCAGTTGTGCAAACATTATTCTAAACCTGTAGTATTTACTTGAGTATTGGATTTTGATATAGGTTGTCACTGACTCACTTTCCCCAACTCTGTTCTCGCTTTTTATGGTTAAACTTCGCTCTGGCAAGTATGTTGAGCGTGGAGCACACTGACTTTTTCTGAAGTGTTCCTTCTGTGAGGACAGCAGCGAAGATGCAAGCTGTGTTCAGTGCCGCAGCATCCAGTTCAGTGAGGTGACAGTTTAATTGGCTGGCTTGGGAATGAGTAATGGCAACGTGCTTGCTGGGCTTTGCAATCATTTTCTTTCCTGGAGGTTTCTGCATTGGTGCAGTGGCTCAGGAGCTGCTGCTGTCACCGCTCCCACGTGTGTGCTGTGCTGCTCGGGTGGCTGCTCTGCTGGAGGCTGTCTGCTCCAGAACTCAGAGGGATGGAATTAAGCTGCTGCTGGGAGCTCTGCTCCACTAACACACATTCCCTTCCAATACCCATTCCCTCTTTGACGTGGAAAGAAAGTTTACTTTGGATTTCCTGAGAACGTTAGGCTGTGTTTGGCCTTGTATTCCCTGTTAAGGGGAGCTGTATGTCCCTGTGTGAGGCATCGCCACATTCTCACTCCCCCATTCTTTCTCTGTAGGTTCAGGTATGTCACGTTCCTCTGCACTTCTTGGAGCTGCCTCTTCTCCAGGTGTGACTTTAAGGCTGTGCTGTGGAGTAGGATGCCCCTGTATTTCACAGAGAAAGTTACTGTTTTCTGAAGTTTTCTTTTGGTAAACATAGCAGCGGCAGAGGTGAAGGTTTCTCTGATGTTCCTATTTGTCTAACTTTAAGATAAGTGCTTTCACTATCTGAGCTTTGTGTCCTTTGTTGTAAGTGTGCCTTGATTATAGAGAAATGCTCTGAAAATATCACCTGAAGATGCGCAAGCAGCGATTAGATGGCTTTCTATTAAAAAGTCTTTTTTAATAAATTGGAAGTCAGACAAGTTGCAGTCTCTATGTCCTCTGGAAGGCATGCATTTAGTAGTAAGTGTTCCTGCATGCTTGTTGCTAGTATCTGTGTATACCCAAAGCACATGGTTTGGGGATAACGTACATTTCATTGTGGAGCACTCAAAGAGTTTACAGCATTGGATTTTCATTCTTCAGCCATCCTTGTTTTTGGGAGGCCAAGTCGAACCTATTCAGTCCAACTTTAAAATGAATTTTGTCCTCTGTGGAACAAGTGTCTGGATGCTGGCCTTCATCCCCCGTCACTTCCCCAGGAGCTTGCTTTGCGTGCCACAGTACTGTGCTCACACCTTGCAGGACATGAGCCACTGCTGTGCCCCACTGCTGATTGCTCTCCTGCTCTGTACCCGGGCTGGGCTGACCAGAATAGACATCAGATAGCCCTGCTATTCCTGGAATGAGGAATCGCTTCTGATCCCAGCCTCTGCAGGACTGATACATGCCCTGCTGATTTGCCACCTATTAGCAGGGCTGCTCTTTTAAAAATGCTTGCTGCTGTGTAGCTGTGGTGTAGGTTAGAAACAAAGTGGTTTTCATTCAGTCCTTTAATGTTAAATATCTTTCACCCACATTAGGATGGGCTTTATTTTGTCATCATGTCTAGCCTTTTAAGTGGGTTATTCTCTACGAGTATCTGCCTCTTCTGGAAAAAAGCTGTTGGGGAGGGGAACTTGGTGCTTGTGCTCTAGAATATTAACTTTGCCACCTGGCTATTTAGGGCTGTAGTGAAATCATCTCTGCTTGTCCAGCTGGTGACTGAAGTTCGGTGTCAGCCGATGGGGTCTGTGTGAGCCCAGAGCCCAGGATGTACCTTGTGGGCCTGGGGACATGTCCCCTCAGGAGCTGACTGCTGGTAGGGAGTGAGATCAGCATAGTTCTGCCTCGGTCACTTCAGTTGCTGGAATTCACAGTACGTGTTTGGTAAATGTTTGTCCACGTGCAAGGAGTTCTTCAGACCCCAGTTTTCTCGTATCTTATTTACCAGCACTGTCTGAAACTGATTGGCTGTTACTTTCTGAATGTGTAGTTGAAGAGCACTTTTACTAGGTTTGGCAAACCCTCTGTGGTGTGGGAGCTAAAAATAGGAGGAGCCTTCTGCGAATCTAGCATTTTACAAGCAGAAAATGCTGATTGTTCACAGCAAGACCTGAGTTCTCAGGCTGTGGTTTGGTGATACACCGCTTGACTTTGTGACTTACGTTGTTGCACTTCTAGTGTATCAGCCAGCACCAGTTATAAACTGTTACTGGTACACATTCAGCTGCTGTTTTAACCAGCCTAGAATTGGTCTGTTAGGCTCCGTCTGGGCGGATGAAGGTCTTCAGCTGCAGATCATCTATTATCTGTCATCCTGGTGCAAGCACAAAACTGGCACAGGATCAGGCTCCTGTGCTTTGGCAGCTGGGAAGGAGTGAGAGCCGTGTCCTGATTTGCTCTTTGTTGGTGTTTGTGTCTGGCATTAACGATCTGGTTACCTTGATCCCAGATTTTTCTCCTGGGCTTCAACACCT